CCTGGTTTCCTATCACACAGTATGGGGTGGCATGGCATGAGTTGTATGTGACAGCAGTCTGGCATTTAGAAGCATTTGCTCACTGGTACTGGGCAACTGGATTTTTTACATAGAACATTTTTAGCAGCCGATGTAAACAATGAGGGCCCAGTCACACTATAAAAAGTGCGTTGCAGTGCATTCAGCTTCTAGAACGCAACTCGGCCAGCTCACTTTGTTTTGGGGTGGAGGGGGCGTGACGGTGCATTGAAGTCAATAGCACCGCAGCCACGTCGCCCGCCCGCAGAGCAATCCCCAGCACCCAAACGCGTGCCAAATTAGTGCCTGCATTGTGATCTGCAAAAAAGTAGCTCATGCAGCATTTTTGCAGATTGCACTGGACCAATACACGAGAACTAATATTCCATGCGTTTGGGTGCTGGCGATTGCATGGCGGGGGGTGGCTGTTGTGCTATTGACTTCATGGCACCGCCAAGCCCCCCTCCCATCCCAAAACAAAGTAGAAATGTGCGATTCGTTTCGTTACGAATCGAAATTCGTACGTATTTTCCTGAAATTCGTAGATTCGTAAGCATACGAAATCCGAATGGCAGTTTCTGAATTTATATCCGAAATACGAAATTCCGTTAACGAATTTCGGATCCGAATTTCTTTGAAACAGGAACTAATATTACCCCTGTAAATGAGGTTGAACAACATGACAAGATTTTTTTTTTTAATCCGAAATACGGATCCGCTGCTGCTGAGAGTTGCATTACAATACACAGGCAGGAAATACGAAATTCCGTTGACGTATTTTCGTTCCGTTACAAACATTCCTTATATATTGAAGTTAAAAAGCAAAGTACATTTATATTGGAGTTGATGGTATTTTTTTTTTAAGTCCGAAATACGAAATTCGATTTTGATTGACCAATCAGAGGTTCTCTTCTGCTGCTGAGAGTTGCTTTACAAATATAGGCAGGAAATATGAAATTCCGTTGACGTATTTTCATTCCGTTACGAACATTCGTTATATTGACGGTAAAAAGCAAAGTACATTTATATTGGAGTTGATGGTATTTTTTTTTTAAGTCCGAAATACGAAATTCGGATACGGAATCCGTTAACGGAATTCGTATTTCGGATAAAAAAACAACTACCACATTGACTCCAATATTAACAAAGGTATTTTTGCTTTTTTAACTTCATCATAACGAATTTTCGTAAAGTTACAAAAATGTCAGGTGAGGTGAATCTGCAGAGGCAAATTAGGCGGCCGCGAGGCCCTCGTAAGCGCGAGGCCTTAGGAGATTAGAGAGCCTAATTAGAGAGCCGCCTCTGCCTAACCACTATTAGTTTTTAGAGAAAAAAATAAAATGTTAGCTTTTAGTTTTAGACTGAAAAGTACAGAAATATTTCTGAAATCCTAGAGATGTGAGGTGTTTCCAAATAATTGATAATATGAAGAATACTATTATGGAGTGTTTCAAAATAAAGGACAAATAAATGAATTTATTTTAATGCATTTTTTTAACAAAAATATTAGTAATCAAAACTGGGGAAAAAGTGTTTTCTTTAAGTTTTTTTCCTCTTTTTTTTATATGTTATTTATCCTAAGTGAGGTGTTAGGTGCACATATGTAATATAAATATATTTCCCTATCTGACCCCTAAAAAAACAATATAAAATGTGTGGGTGCACTTCGTAAAAAAGTATATTACTGCCGTGGAAGAATCACACAGCAAAAATGTAAAAAGTGCTTCAGTCATTGACGAGTTATGAAGGGGTTAAACTGGAGAGGCCCCTTTAACCACCTGCTGTCCGGCTGTTGTAATTAAACGGCCGGACAGCGGCTTTTTGAGGATGGGTGGGCGTCTTTAGACGTCCCATCCCGTTCCGCTCGTGCCGGCCGCTAGGCGGCGTGCACGAAGGGAAATCAGCTTTCTTTGTAAACAGCCAGCGATGGCTGTTTACATACAAGCGTTCACATACGCAGCCGGTGCTGGCGATCCCGGGCTCCGCTGCTCCCGGTGTGAGCCCGGGACCAGCACAGCAGCTCTGCTGCCGGAGATCGAACGGAGCTCAGTACACGAGCTCCGTTTGATCTCCTCCTCCTCTTCGGAATGCAGGCAGTGATGTGTATTACATCACTGCCTGCATTCCTCTGTCACTCTCCGGTACAGAAACCGGAGAGAAGCTGATGTCTCCATAAAGAGGACCTGTCACTGCAAATTGGCTATCACATAGGGAGCTTGTTTGCTCCCTATGTGATAGCAATAAAGTTAAGTGGAAAAAAAAAGTTTACATTTTTTTTTAAAAACATTTAAAGTCACATATCAAAGCAATAAAAAAAAAATGAAAGGCCCCCCGCCCCCACATGCACACGCAAACATGCGTCGAGTCCGCCTACGTGCAAAAACGACAATTACATCCATTGCACCGCACATGTTACATATCGCCGTGAACGTCGGAGTGAGAGCAGTAATTCTAGGGCCATCAATCACTGATAACACTAAACTGATGAGCGGTAAAAGCTTTTAAAGCGTCGGCTATGGTCAATTTTGGGTATGGTAGTTTTTTGCGATTTAGCGGGTGCGCGCAATTTTAAAGCTTGACATGTTTGGTGTCTATTTACCCGACGTGACCCCGTCTTTTATATTTTACCAAAAAATTGGGTAATAATAAATGTTTTATAACATAACGTAGGAAGAACAGGTTTTTTTCAAAATTTTTGGTACTTTTTTCATTATATAGTAAAAAAAAGAAACCCGTAGTGGTGATTTAATACCACCAAAAGAAAGCTCTATCTGTCCCAAAAAAAACGGTATAAAATGTATTTCAGTACCGCGTTGCATGACGGAATAAATGTCAGTCAAAGTACCGCAGCGCTGAATACTGAAAAATGGCCTGGACAGGAAGGGGCTACCCCGGTCAGCAAGTGGTAATTAAAAAATGATTTGAGTGTATTATTTCACCACAAAAGTCAGCAAAATATTTTACTGGCCAATTTTAATGAGGAAATCACAGCTAGAGTACCTTATTTCAGAAAGATAATAGCCAGTAGCAGGAGATGATAATGCTTATGGTATAATAATGCTTTTGGGACCAAATTCATTTAAAAAAATTGTTAGCATCAGCTATGTGAGTTTGGTACTAATTGCTGATCCAAGACTTTTTTTCATGCTTATAAAGGTGAGCAGGTTAACTGTATCCGGGGACAGGCTATTTTTTTTTCTGTCACAAAACCACACACTGCACTAAATGTCCTCTCTGAGAGCAAAATGTCCAATAGGCAGTCCAGCAACTTGAATGCATACTGGGCAAGCACCAGCCAGTGGTCCATCATCAACCCCTAAAAGTCCATGGGGTGTTCACATTCACCCCTTAAGCCCATATAATAATAAGAGTTCATATAGTTAAGGCATTGCCTGTGACTTTACTACGAAAGACCTGGCCAATGCCTAGTAAAGAGGGACTTTAAAGCCTCACTTAGACAGCCACCACCACTACCAATCCTCCTTTACCTAACCAGATGATCCAAGCCATGTTGGCCATGTTAAACATTGAGAGGATCCTCCACAGCACCCCTTTAAGGATTGGATCTGCCATTTTCCCCTTGCAACATGGATCCAAAATGGTGGACAACTAGTAATGGTCTTCTCTCCTTGATGGCTCGAATCTCCGGTAGCAGAGGAACTGAAGTCCTTGGTGCTGCTGAGGACAGTGGTGTCCTATATGATCTCACCCCACCAACATACTGCTCTCGGGGTTTGGGAGGAGTAAAACGTACCTCTGGAAGCATGCCTCCAACCCTCCTTCCTGCCTCCTGCTGTTACACAAGGATGGAGTCATTTATGAAAGGATCCTTCTGACTCCAACACAGCAGGAAGTTCTTCTCTTCCTCTAGTTGCTGTACCTTCAGTGCCTAGTCTGCTACACCAAGCAGTATGTGCTCCAGCAGGAACACCAAAGGAATTGTGTAACTGATCCCCACTTCATCACGGCTCACCATTTTAGTAATCTATTCGAATAGCGACAAGACGGTACCACGCCTTCAGAATCAGAAGCCTTCTGATGTGGTCCTTATGCCATACTCAGACAAATACTTATCAATGGCCTGCTATTGCAAGTGGAGCTGCTGCAGCATGGCCAACTTTGAGTTCCAGCAGGTGGGCATACCACATATTAGGAAGGTGGCAGACATCTTTGTTGCTGCAGAATTCTGGCTGCGGATCAATACCATTTGGTATGTGCATGTGGTATCCAAAATGCCTGGATTTACAGGGGCTGCAAATCACTACAGGGGACTGCAGATGTGTTAAAAATGCAAAAGAATGCTGAGCTCTGCAGAGCAGACATGGTTATTGCAGTGGCCGTCACCTGTGGAGCAGTGCCAACTGGGGGAATTGGGTGTCTGTTCCCCCCACTCCGCTGCCAGCTTCCCCTAGACAACATCCTGCCTTGCTGGTGTTGTGCCTCTCTTCTACAATCTCTGGCACCCAGATACTATATGCCACATCATCATGCTCTCCTTCCTCATTGCTTAAACCCACTTGGCAGTACAACACAATTCACAGTAAGTAAGCAAAATACAGCACGGGGGGGGTACCCTCCACAGTCCACACCTGGTGGCCTTCCACACTCACAATGTGGTTGGCTACATAGTCCTCACAATTTAGCACTGTATAGCACTGCATATAGCAGTGAATAGCAGTAATTATCCCTCCCTGAAAATACTCTGTCAATTGTCACTATCTACTAATCTCCTCATACACTGGCAAAAGGCTGCTGGAAAGCTGACGTTCATATGGAGGAGGCTGGCACATTTGAGAACCCCCATTATTGGCCGTCCTGGATTTTCTTCCCATTGTGTGCACAGTAGCTTTTCATACACCTCTATAGGACTGTCAGTAAAGCATCTCCTACCTTAATAGAAAGTCCCACAGACCAACATTAAACATCATACAAAGTCTAAATGTTGGTTAACTGTTCACACTAAAAACAAACTGTTTTCTCACCTGTACCTAGGATGTTCTCCTCACAAGAATACCAGATGCCGGTATGAAAATAGCGGAAAGCAAATCTGTCATCTCCAGTCTCCCAGCTATACTGGACCACGTCTTGCCCAGATGCATTGACGCTCTCCATGGCTATTGGAACAACTATGCATTTGGTAGCCTTACCATTCCCACAAAGAGGCTTTGGGACTTTCTGGGTACCTTCACACCAATAGCTACTAAGTAGGGCTGTGGTGGAGAGTGTAAGGGATACCAAGTTGAAGCTCACAGCCATGACAGCACGACGCCAATGAACAACTTCTTTGAGTTCAATCTAGAATAAAAAAAAATAACAGTAATGGGCTTAAATTAAATAAAAGAGTCATCAACTGTATACATTTGTCAATCTGGTCCCCCAACGTAAAATACAGTCAAATGTAAACAGTATATTAAAATATACAAGGTATGCTGCTTTCTGGGGGGGGGGTTGCAATAGCAGAGAGTCAAGCGACAACTGGACTGGAAAGTTTAAATCAGCGTGAGGAACTGAGTGCAGTGAGAACTATCAAGGCCCTGCCTGCTCCAAACCTCAAGAGGTCAAAGAAATTTGTTTCAGGAGAGCCCGTTACCTTCACTAGTTTTTTCACCATTCAGACCCAGAAGGAAAGTGTTTTGTTACATTCCTATGGCTCTGCTAGTTTGCAGGCCACTGCCATGTTCTTCAAAGCCTGTGTGGACTTGATGGCTCTTCTCCCCTTGTTATCCATATGACCTTTGCGAGTGCAATTTTTATATAAAAATAAAACTCTACCAATTACAACACTATGCTGGTTTGCACTGTTCTTTTTGCTTTTATGTTTACAGTTCCCTTGGCGTTTCAACACATCTTCTGTTGAGTAGACTGCAACCTCAAGTTTTATTTGTATATCATCTATTTATGCCTGAGACTAAGTCTGTTACTTCAAGGTTTTTTAAACACTTTTATGTATATTTATCCATTTACTACTTTTCTATCTCTACATGGAATCAGGTTTTACTGATGTTAGGATTTGATACATATTCCCTCAAATCTATAGCCTAGCTATGTTATCAGCGCACCATGTATTTTTCTTTTTTCTTTATAAATGAAAAAGAGTTTAGAGTTTAATGGATATACAGGAAACATTACATAAGTAGAACTTCAATACAAATGTTTGTGAGTGAATGGGTATAGTTTATTGCATGCAGAAAATTCAAAGTATTATTTCGGAGACATGTCGACCCAAATATTACAATCCCCATGAAAAAGGAATATATTTTGCAACTGGTATATGTTAATGTTATGCATTTTCCTTCAGAATTCTAGAATTAGCCTAAACAAACTCTAAATTAACATAAATGCAACAACAATCTGTACATCCTATTTAAATTAAAACTAATCAATAGAATGCTCCTGGATATAAAAATATTGCAAATATAAATGTTAAAGTAAAATAACCACAAAGTGACCAAAACCAATAATAGTAAATACAAAATACTTTGTATGTGTATTGTATAAGTGAAATATCTGTTAAAAGACTGTGCTATAAAGATGTATATAACCCACAGTTTGTAAAACGTCACTTATACTACAGGATATATATTAGTATAAATGTGGTGATAAATATACACTTACTGATGTTGCCTTCTGTAGGAATCTTGCAGATGAGGTAATTTCTAAAGGAAGATTCATGATATTCCAGTATATGATGGCACGTCCAATATTTTCTATGTGTATCACAGAATAAGAAATTGTGTGCACAAAGCTTTGAAGTAAACAAACTGCTTATAATTCTGTTGCTTTGGCTATCTAATCCCAGTGCCCACAGAACAACCCGACTCATTGCTGTGAAATCACCAACATCTGCTGCAGAGTAATGGAGGTTCCTAATCCAAAACACAATCAGGTCCCAGCTGTACTCATCTAAACCCTTCTCATTCACTCTTAGCACTAATCTTTTACATAGTCCTTGTTGAACTATTCATATTTTTTTGCAATAATGGCAGAGAACATCTAAAATATCTGCAGATCAGACAGTATTGAGTTTTAGATGAAAATATGTTATTACATTTACTATAAAAAGTCAAGTGAAGTTTTTAAGTAATAAGACTAAAGTATATTAATGAAACCCTGAATCTTTTTGGTGAATCAGGCAACTATGGAAGGCAATGATGCATTTTATGTAACACATTCAAAATTAAAACACCCTTTGTTTCATTACTACCGGTATATTAATTTATATAGCAATCATTCATTTATATATACAGTACATTAAACATAGAACCATTCATGTTGGTATCTGCCTTGTAAGGGGCTTAATATCAGATGCCAATTACACATTCTTAGAGAAACACACATACAGCATACTCACTCTATAGCCAGTCTAGGTTGGAAGCCATTTATCATAGAATTATGTTTTTGGATTATGTAAGCATACTGCAACAAACTCCATGCAAGTAAAGTCCTTAGTGGGGAAAAAACTGGGTCATAATTTCTCCTGTAAATAATGCCACTAAAATTGTGTTTCTATTACAAAGCATAGCATCATTTACAAATAAAATAAAGGCTTTCTTTCACATTTTGTGCTGTTTTTAAATGTGTATATTAAAAAATTAAGGAACAAAGGAATGAAAATGAAGAAGTTTAAATAATAATGGTTAAAAAAAACAGGAATGAAAAAAAATAAGCAGCCAAATAATCGCTTAGAAAAGAAGGGGGAGGCCGTAGTTAATTAGGGTTAACTAAGTGGTTAAATTTGAAAAGTTTATTTTTATTATATTATTATATTTTAACTTCCAAAGTGTCTTTGCTTTAACTGACATAATATGCAGATCAAGGGTCACCTCTTTGATTTGCTATGAATGGAGAACAGAAGTTACAATGAAGCAATGATTCATCATAACTCTTTCTAACACTTCTGCGAGTGTCAGTTTACACAACAGCAGAAAAACCTGCACCTGTGAAAATAAAACAAGTCTGGGCAGTCAAAACGACAGTGGGGAATTGTTGGTAAATGTTGCAGAAGAGCTGCGGGGGAGGAGGGGCTGGGTGTACTACACGTATCAAGTATTTGAATTAAGTTTTTTGGGTGTGTGCGCATGCCTAAAGTCCACAAATGGTTAAAGGAGAACTATGAGGTGAGTGATTTTCAGTCAACCTCATAGTTCGAGCAGACGTGTGACAATTAAACTATCACACGTCGGCTCAATAGATCGGGAAGTGAGCATACCGTCGCTCGCTCACTTCTCGATCATGTCCCTGCGGAGAGCCGTGACTGTCACACACGGCTCCCTGCAGGGATTCCCATCATTGGAACTAAGGGGCCAAGCCCAACCCCTGAAAAACAACCCCACACCATAATCCCCCCTCCACCAAACTTTACACTTGGCACAATGCAGCCAGGCAAGTACCGTTCTCCTGGCAACCACCAAACCCAGACACATCCATCAGATTGCCAGACAGAGAAGCGTGATTAATCACTCCAGAGAACACGTCTCCACTTCTCTAGAGTCCAGTGGTGGCATGCTTTACACCACTGCATCCGACGCTTTGCATTGCACTTGGTGATGTAAGGCTTGGATGCAGCTGCTCGGCCATGGAAACCCATTCCATGAAGCTCTCTACGCACTTTTGTTGTGCCAATCTGAAGGCCACACGAAGTTTGGAGGTCTGTAGCTATTGACCCTGCAGACAGTTTGCGACGTCTGCGCACTGTGCGCTTCAGCATGCGTGACCCCGCTCTGTCATTTTACATGTCCTACCACTCCGTGGCTGAGTTGCTATTGTTCCCAGTTGCTTCTACTTTGTTATAATACCACTAACAGTTGACTGTGGAATATTTAGTAGCAAGGAAATTTCACGGATGAACTTATTGCACAGGTGGCAGCCTATCACGGTACCACACTTGAATTCACTGAGCTCCTGAGAGCGACCCATTCTTTCACAAATGTGTGTAGAAGTGTCTGCATGCCTAGGTGCTTGATTTTATACACCTGTGGCCATGGAGGTGATTGGAACACCTGAATCCAATGAATTGGTGGAGTGTCCCAATACTTTTGGCAATATAGTGTATATGTAGCTATAGGCAATAGCTACAACTTAAATACACTACGCTTTATATAGCCTGGCACCGTGTGATCGACGGTGCCCACACCATCTTTTTCTGCTGACCTGAGGAGGTGTCCACCTGGTTGGAACAGCGGAACTAATAAACGCTATGGTGCCTGCTTTATGCTTCAGTTCATGCTTTTATTGCACTAACCTCTTCTGACCTATGATGATGTATGGCCACCCCTGTTCGAGACCTCACTATTATTTTACACTGAGATGTTCTTCCACGTAGCCTTGTCAGAGCGGATGCCCTTCATGTAATGAACCTAGAAGACCTCGGGACTGCTAAGTATTATTTTGCTGCTAACCGTTGACCGGTGAACTATGTTACTATAGCAAGAGGATTTTTCTTTTCTTGTATATACCCTTTCTTTTTCTGTTTTGCCTTGCCTAACCACTTGCTATATTGAAGAGGGTAGCAGTGGTGCATGCCTTTGCCTATGTGCCAGATCTTCCATAGTTACATAGTCGGGTTAAAAAAAGTCCATCAAGTTCAATCTGTTGTCCTTCCTTTGGTGCTTTCCTTTTTTTTACTTTCTTTGTCCAAAAAAAGTTAAATGCTTTGCTGTCCTACAGTTCTTAAGAAAGTAAAGGTCTGACATTTTTGCATTATTGGAAACACATAACACCTGACCCCTTAACACTCAGGCGTCCATGGCTACATGAGTCTTACCACTCTACGTACACCTCTGCTTCAAAAGGTTTCTCAGTTCTATTTCCCAAAAGTACACAATGTGACGTCCTGAAGGCGCAGGTGAACCAGCAAGGCCACCACATCTTTTTGCACATTTCACTATATTGTTAACCTGTATTGCTATTAGCATTCTATATTCCTCCCCTCTTTGCTATGACTGTAACACAAGATGGTATTGCTTTTATATCTACACACCTGTCAGTGCAGGCGATCTGGTTGGGGACTTCAATACAGTGCTCAACCCGGCCCTTGACTAGCACTGTGCATCCCCAATAGAGCACCCCAGATTGTCCTTCACCAGGTTTGGTAAAATTATGGACACAATCTCTAAGTTTGATGCCTGGCAGCATCAATTTCCTAGTAAAGTGGTGTATTCCTGTTTTTCCTCTACATATGATAAAATATGTCATGCATTGATGATTCTGCTAAGTAGACAGCTCCTTCCCCTGCTTGAAGATGCTGGCTATCTCCCTTAACTACTATCTGGTCACTACCTTTGCTGGATTGTTATTGGCTGATTTCAAAGATCGCCCCCTCCACAATGGAAACTGAACCCTTTTTGGCTTTTACTTATCCCAGAGGAGCCACCCCTTTCAAAGAGTGGGCCTTTTTCTTTGCCTCTAACTCACCCACAGCAAACACCCTAATAGTGTGAGAAGTGTGTAAGGGTCATGCATGTTTGGTGTTGTCCAGACTTAATAACAAGAAGTGGGAATTTGGGGAGCCTGTATTGAGAGTGGAGGGGGCATTTCCAAGAGGCCTTAGCCGAGTTTAATCAGCATCCCCTACTGATGCTGCGAACACGTCTCTCTCATGCAGCCAATGATATTCATCTTACTAATACTAGAAATAAACTTTTCTTCTCTCAGCAGAGGGTGTTTGAGCATTTGGCTTTTTTTAGCCAATTAACAATTTAGTACTTCTACAGGCTCAGCTATAACTGACCCAAACCAAGCGACCTCTGTTTTTCAGGACTTCTCTAATCTATTTGCTCTAAGTCTGAACTTTCATTTTTGGACACCACTTCTTGATACTATTGACACCCTAACTTTCTAATGAGCAGCTTTGGCTTTTGGAGGCACCTCTTACGTCCCTGATAATTGAGAAGGCATTTTTTTCTTATTTGCCCATGCTAAAGTTCCGGGTACAGACAGCCTACGTCTAGAATTTTATGCTACATACAATGAAACCCTTGTTCCCAAGCCTTTGACTTGCCAGCCTTTATGAAAGAGGCCCTAATTATTCTGATGCCAAAACCCCAAAAAGACCCTCACTTTCCAGAGTCGTATAGGCCTATCTCTCCCTGCTACAGGCTGATGTTAGGATCCTTGCCAAGGTGCTTTCCCTCCACCTGAACCAGGTTATCATTCACTCTCACCAAACAGGTCTCATTCCTGGGAATAACACTACCTTTAATACCAGACGCCTATTTATGAATCTACAGTCTAGCCATACCCCGGAGGGCATCAGGGTAGTTGTCAGCCTCAATGCTGCCAAGGCTTTTGATTCAGTTAAATGGCAAATACTTTGGTTAGCTGTAAGGGTAGAATGGCGGCCACGCAAAGATCCTATCTCCGAAGACGGACCATAGTGCGCATGCATGTACAACCAAAGGTGTGCGGGAAGACGCACAAACAGCAGGTGCATAGGAAATAACATCTTACCTCATAGGTGGCTATATAAGAACAAGCCTGAGCTCACAACATTGCCGATGGTCTTGTGAGCTAGTGCTTCCTGTTAACTGCTTCCCATTGATTTTGCCTGTGACCTGTTTTGACCTGGATTGTCTTGGACCACTTTGCTGCTTGCTGCCTGCCCCTGACCTTGGCTTGTACTGGACTTCGCTCTTGCCTTCTGATTCGGTACCTTGCTGCCCGGCTGGCTCTGACCCTTGGCTTTCTGGATCACTATTCCTGTCTCCTGAATCTGTTCCCATGCTGCCTGCCCGGTTTTGACTTTTGGCCTGCTGACTTCGCTACCAGACTTCTCCTGCACTGTGGCACTCGTGCTCCTCGCTGTCCTGCAGCCTTCTGTTCCAACCCCAGTGGTTGCAGATTAGGGATTGCCGTTTACAAGCGGCAACTATCATAAGATAAGAATTATCATAAGATTATTTAAGAGGGTGTGTTTAGGGGCGGAGTCAATGCCGGGGCAGGGTA